TTTGTCGATAAAATATTATGTTTGGAGAACAAAAAAGAACGCGTCTGTACTGAAAAATATTATATTTTATGATGATGACATTAGTATTGAACGGCATTGGAGGCTAGCTCTTAATATGGGCCGTCCTTGAAGCGTCCTGACAATATTGTGTAGGTGACATTCACTGTAAACTTGTCAATATGCATTATATTGATTCCAATTATTTATATTGATCAATTAATAACAAATTAAAGTCAACTGTTTAAACTTAATACATATTATATCTATAATACTTAAAATAATACGGCAGATTCATGTTATTACTATAACGATAATATGATAACAAAGTTATTTTCCAATTGTTATAATGTGATTGATGTAAACAAAACAGCTACTTCATAACAGCAAGGGCCCTTACATACGATGTCGCAGTATATGCGTGCAGTGCCACGATGTCGCAGTATATGCGTGCAGTGCCGCTTGTGTTATCGAATAAACACTAAACTATTCATATTTAAAATGTTTTTTTAGAAATGCGGCGTCGTATGTAAAAAGCATAACATTTTTTTTATCTTACGTCATTAAACAACGAAATAATTTTAGACTGTATCTATTTCTAGCCATTTATATTGAATGGAAGCTAAAGTTTAAATGCTCTCAAGGAGCTAAGTGGCACAGGCACATAAGTCAAAGTTAGAAAATATTCTATCAGAGATCTATTTCTTTCTATTTTTGACATTATTCATAATGATGCGTCGTTATTTATAGTAACGTTATTGATATTCGTTCGGAATGACAGCCGCAAAATTGTGATAACTATTGACCATCACCATATTTTCACATTGCGTTCTGAGTAATGGTGAGAGCTGACCGTCAAATCCATAACAAATGCTCTGTCAAAAGGCGAAGTATTTTGTACCGGATTAGTCAACATAAGACGTATTCGCAAAACGGCATACTCTTAAAAAAAAAGTCCTGTTCGCCAAATGACCTATTCTTAAAACGGCCTGTTCGTAGAATGACTTATTCTTAAAAAGACCTGTTCGCCAAATGCCTTTTTTTAGTAGTGTAATTAGTATACCATAATATTATTGAAAATTTAATTATATAAATTATAAATTTGCAATGAGTATAAAATTTCGAACGCCTATTTTAATTTTAACGGTACTTCATTAATGTATTTTGACATTTAAATTTGAAGAAAATATTCCATCTGTAAGGCCTGCAAACTCACACTCAACATAGCCCCGCACTAGGGAAACCCTGTGTCGCGGGTGCCATGGACACACACATAGACAACCACAAATTACACCCAAACTCACGAGAGAAATAAATGTAGGCCATACAAATATTTCTCCCGGCCCGGGAATCGAACCTGGGACCTCTGCGTGGCAGTCCGGCATGGTAACCGTTCGGCCACGGAGGCAGTTAAAAACTAGAGGACGAATCCGGTTTAGCGCACTTTCCGGTAACCGATTTCAATAAAACTTGGCAAATACATATATTTAAACGAACTTTTGAGGTCGGTAAATGGAACCAGTATTGTGGTACCCTCTTTCCAACAAAAAAAGAATCATCGAAATCTGTTCACAAATCGTAATCAGTAATCGCGTAACACACATAAAAAAGAAATACAGTCGATTTGAGATTCACTTCTTTGGTCACTCTTATTGATTCACATATCATTACTTAAACTTATTCTGCAATCATCGTGAGTGATAGGCTCGGAAGGAAACAAGTTTCTTGATCTAGTAGCAGTAGAACTCCTCGTGAAAGAGTTCGTCCAGGATAAGTAATGTCAGCATTACTGTGTTCCGGATTCGAAGGGTAAGGGTGCTGGCTGGTGAGATTACAGGCACATGGGACTTGTCAATTTATGTCTCAGGGTGACAGG